GGAATGAGGAGCTGATGCCAGGGGCTTAAGTGGAGAGCAAATGTTTTGAGAATGATGAGGGCAATGAATGTACAAATGTGCTTTACACAATTGATATATGTATGGATGGTGATAAGAGTTGTATGAGACCCTAATAAAATGATTTTAAAAAAATAATAGTTCATACAGAATTTAGCATTGTACCCAAAAAAAGGGGAAACATTCAATATTTATCATTTAAACTTCATATGTTTTTCACAAAATTAAATCACTTTGGCCAAAATGAATAAATTATATTATGGAAACAGATTAAACCTCTAAAGCTGCTGAAAGATTCTAGAGTCAACTTTAGAATCAAATGTGTCCTGTAAGAAAATAATCTGCATCATAAATTTCATCAGTGGAAACTTAAAAGTTTGCATTTATAATTACATTGTGGTTTGACCAGAAAAGATAGAAATTAGAAATCTTTTTTTTTTTTTTTTTAGAAATTAGAAATCTTATGTGGGCTGTTCTTTAACTTTTCATTAATTTTACATAAATCAGCTGATTCAGCAAGGCTAGGCCATGTTTGTTTAGATTGAATTGAGTAGGGGAAAACAACAACATTGCTATGGATGAAAAGAAAAAGGTAACAGTAGAGAATAAAAGAAATAGTAGGAAATAAAGCAAGTAGACTACTAGAAGCTCACCAAAGAGAGTTCTGACAGGGGCCCCGGGTACTATAAGTCATTAACATGCTGGGCTACTAACTAGAAAGTTGATGATTCATGTTCAACCAGAGGCGCCATTGAAGAAAGGTCTGGGGAGTTCTTTCCCCGCAAAAGTCCATTGAAAACCCTGTGGAACACAGGTCTACTTTAACACACATGGGTCACCATGGGCCAGAATCTACTCCTCTGCAAGTGATTTTTTTGAAAGAGGGTGTAGGACTGTGTCGTCCTGTATCTTAGACACAGAAGGTAACATTGAGACCAATATATTAAAAAAACAACAAAAACACCAACAACCTACCATTGAGACTATTCCATCTAATAGCGACCCTCAGGACAAAGTAGACAGTAGATGTGCTCTACTGGGATGTGCTCTATGCTGGGTTATGCATCAGCTGCTAACTGCAAAATCAGCAGTGCAAAACCATCAGCTGTTCTGGGAGAGATAGGTGAGGCTTTCTATTTCCATAAGATTGATAGTCTTAGAAACACACAGAGGCAATTCTACTCTATCCCATAGAATCACTTTGAGTTGGAATCAACCTGATGGTAGTTTTTGTTGACATTTTACAAAAGCAGAATGCTGTAGCTTCCTCCTTTCAGCCCAATACTTAACTTGCTGCTCTTTATTGAAATCAACAGAAATGGAAAATTAAGCCCACTGCCATCAAATTTCTTCTGAAAAATTTGTTGTAGCTCAGAGTAAAACTACCTATGGGGTTTCTGAGGCTATGAATCTTTAAGGCAGCAGACTCTCATCATTCTCGTTCATAGCATCTGAAAGTGTCAAATGAAGAAGGCAGTAGCAGTCCAGGGGTCCATCAGGGGTCCTGAGGCTGATATACCATAGTTAACGCGACAATTCTTTTCCTCTGGCCACAGCCTGGCACATCCAGTTAAACCACTGTGTTCCCAGCTGTGCTGGTTTCTTCTTTGGTATTAATTCTACTGAATCTACTCACATCCCTCAAACAATTTTGAGTTCTCATTTAATATTCTCAAGCTTCTCATATGAGGTTCAATTTTCCTCCCAGCGAAACTGTTTGTTTATCCAGTTGTTCCATTTAGGAAATGGTAAACATTTCTAGGCAAAGATTTAAATTAGTCTTCAAGAAATCTCCCATCCCCATTCCCAAATCCACATATGGTGTCACAAGTCATTCAATTCCCTTAATGAAGAAATAACATTAGGTCACTCTGAAAAGAAGGAAGTGAGGAGTTGTTTTAATTATAAAATGACTCCCCTTCTCAGAAAGACAAAGCTTTGAAACAGATTAAATAACCCTCTCTATATGATACCCACCACGGCATAAATGCCTGGAGAGAGGTTCAGTCTTTTAATGGAGAAAATATACTCTACTCAAAGAAACTCCCCATCCTCTCCCATTCTATCTGAGAAGCCCTTCTCACCGAGTGGAATCTCACAGATCACAGGATCTACCAAAAGAACATGTACTAATCTGTTCAGGCCCCAACTCCCACAGACCCAAGGAGGTGACAAGGACACAGTAGAAAGAGCTTATTTCAAACATTAAAAGCAATCCCTGTGATTCATACATCTACAATCCATTTAGAAAATCAATCTCAAAAGAAAACTATCCTCCAGGGGAAAAGTTTTGTTGCCCTTTCACTTCTCACAAATTCTTTCCAAAGATCATCATTTCAGGGCCGTCTTCATTGTGTTGCTTGATTTAATGGACATAAAATTACTCTGTCAAATTGTCATCCAGGTTTCCAAATGCTTTTTCTCCTCCGTTACAGTGCTCATCTCATCAGACACTGGAAACAATCCGCTCACCAACTAGCAATGGTGGGCAGGCCACTAATGGAGTGGCTATGGTGGATAACTTTGCATGTCAACCTGGTTAACCTGCCATAGATTGAGTGTGACTCATAGTAATCCTATGAGTGACTCATAGGATTTCTAAGGCTATCCATTTTCATGAGAGCAGACAGTCTTGTCTCTCTCCAGCAAATTGGCTGGTGGATTTGAACTGCCAACCTTGTGATTAGGAGTCAAACTCTTAGCAGCACCACACCCAGTTATTTGGTCAAGGAGTCAAGAAGTTGCTATGTATAATTTGCATAACATTTGAGTGTGCTGCCCTTCAGTAAAGCAAAGTAACTTCCATAATGTAGGTGTTGAGATCGTTTTGCAGTAGAAAGAAGTGATTCTAATATCTGGAATTTTAGCAGATTTCTCTCCTGGTCCAAAAGGGTTGAGTCAACGACACGACACAGGCTACTTCCTCTAATAAAAGCCTGACAAGCAATAGCAGTGACCAGTTCAGAAAAGCATGTGTATGTTCAAATGCAACATTTACCCCAATACATCTAAGTGCTCACAATAGATACCAGACATGCCCCTCCCCCATCCCTGCCATCTTAATCTAAAGCTAAAGTTCTAGGAGCAATCATTCGCGGGACTTATCAAAACATATTGTTTAGGAAACTTTTTTCCTTTTGTTATTATTTCTAGACATACCTAGTTATTGTCTTGAGAAAACAATACACCTGTTCTAGATTTCTAATTTTTCTCATATCAAATGAGAAATTAATATAGACTGAGCACCATTCATAGTCCATCAGAGCTGAGCCGCAGTTTCACACACCTGTGGAAGAAGGAGCTCTTGAGGGTTTCTTTTTCTCTGGCTGATGATGTCACCTGATATTATATCTATAAATGTGCTAAGAGTCACTTTAGATCTTAATCTGCTTTGGGCTTTTGTTCCTGCTTTCTTTCCTGACAGCAAGGACAGATGTGATGAAAGGTTTCCTTCCATCAGCTGTTCACATGCTGTTCTCTGTCTGATGGCCACCTGACCTCTTTAAAAGCCAGCACGAGTTCAGCCTATGAACGGAACGTTGTACTTTTTCCTCAGCTAAAAGTACAGATCTCTTAGGTCAGCAAACACTCCTCTCCCCCAAACTCCTTAGGGCTCAGCCCCATTAAACCAGTACTAGGCCAATTAGAGGTTGTATTCTGAACATTCTTAAGTAGAAATGTGCACTTGAAAAGTAGGCAGAGGGAATTGCTTCTTCCTGCTCTATTTTATAAAAGATTCCTTAGGTTGTAAAGTCCCAGACAGAGACTGACTTGGGCTCCAAAGGTCACCAGAGTTATCTTATTCCTACAAATTGATATTATACCACAAGTATTATCTTTGTGAGTTGTACAGTTAGGTCCTTAGCTGCTAACCAGAGGGATGGAGGTTTGAATCCATCCGAAGCACTTTGGAAGAAAGGCATGGCAATCTCTTTCCCAGAAAACTAGCCATTAGAAACCCTGGGAAGCCCAGTACTACTGTGACTCACAGGGAGTCACCATGAATAGGCATCCAGTAGGGAACAACTGGTTCTTTGGGCTATTAAATTTGTGCAGAACTGCTACTGACCTGGGCTTTATAGTAAAAATTATGAGGGGAAAAATTTAGTTTTATGTAAATCATAAAAAGTGCCCACTGATGTAGCAGCTGGATTTCACCCCAACTCATCTACTCTGACAGAGACAGTGGTCTTTGTGGTTCAGAAGCTACCTTTACATGATTTCCTCAACTATGCACATGGGGTCCCCATGAGTCAGAATCTGCTCGACAGCAACCGCTAGACATTTAAAACAGATTGTACAATAAAAGTGCACAATTGCTACTTACCTGAATAAGAAGTTGCACTCCACTCTAATCTTCCCAGGTAGAAACTGGTAGGATCCCTACAACTATGGCCTTTACCCTTAAAGTCGGGAACTAAATTCACCTTCGTATTAGAATAATCAACCATGTAAGAACAAAACGGAAACATTTGCCCATGGACAAAGTTTAGAGAGCTGGGAAAGGAGGAATGGACTGTCTGCTTCCTTCGCCTCCGGCTCGCCCGACGTGCAGTCTGGTTCCTTCCTCTTCCAAAAGCACCATGGCAACTCTGAAGGACCAGCTGATTCAGAATCTCCTGAAGGAAGAACAGGCCCCCCAGAATAAGATTACAGTCGTTGGGGTGGGTGCTGTGGGCATGGCCTGTGCCATCAGTATCTTGATGAAGGACTTGGCAGATGAACTTGCCCTTGTTGACGTCATGGAAGACAAATTGAAGGGTGAAATGATGGATCTCCAGCATGGCAGCCTTTTTCTTCGAACACCAAAAATCGTCTCTGGCAAAGACTATAATGTAACTGCAAATTCCAAGTTAGTAATTATCACTGCTGGAGCTCGTCAGCAGGAGGGAGAAAGTCGTCTTAATTTGGTCCAACGCAACGTGAACATCTTCAAATTCATCATTCCGAACGTCGTAAAGTACAGCCCAAACTGCAAGTTGCTCATTGTTTCTAATCCAG